GCTTTAGGTATGCTTTTTGATTATAAATCAGAGTGACAACAGAAAGAAAAGGGATGATTAGAGTACAATATGCTGAAATTCATCATTACACTAATTATTAAAGCGTTGCCTTTTCTATTTTAAAGTCCCTCTACCCAAGATACTCTACCATAAAGTCACATCGGGAAACTCCAGATGCTGAGATTTAAAACTGTCAGTCAAAAATTAATTATTTATAAGCTTTAAAAACATGCTATTTCTCCTCAAAGACCCCGATCTTACAAACAGCAGCTTTAGGTTTAAACGTGCATATATAAATTGTATTCCCTTTAACGGCATCAGTCACATACAAACCAATAAACATGCACAAAAGCGATGGCAAAGCCAGGTCTTAGAAAAGCTGTACTTCCTCCTACCTAAATGCATACACCGGTTTATTAGCATGCACCATGCACTCACAAGGGGAAAATAAGGGAGGTTGCAATGGGAGGTGACCAGAGAGTCTCGATGCTGCAGTTACTGATATCGCAAACAGAGGTGAGCAGTAGTCACACACCATGTGGAGGATACTACTACAGCAGTGCTAAAACAAGAAAAGTACAAAGTTTACATGAAATTCCATGTCCATCTTCATTGTCATCACTGAGATCAGGAGTGAATTAATATCTAATGGTCCAATTCAGATTTCACAAATTTGCATTGCTTATACTATTGATTTCAGTAAGGCTATTCCTGTTTTTACACTCCTGAGACAACCACACGAGGTGCCTGTGAATGCCCATTTGCCCCCTGGTCTATAGGCACTTTCTTCACACAACTCAGTGACAGCAGTAGAGAAACAGTAAAAAGCGGCATTAATTAACAAGTGCTTCGATACAGATTCGGTCAGGAGGATTTTCCACTGTTCTGTCAATCTTTCATTACATTTTAGAGCTACTTAAAGGAAAGCAAAACATTCAGAAAGAGTATCTTGGGAACATCTGACATGGACTAATAGCTCAATTGCATGAGTGACTACTGAGCTTATTTTTATTATTATTATTATTATTATTAACATCTTTGAGCTACAAGCAACTGTGTTATGTTTGCTAGCTTTCTTCATTCAATGCCTCTGTATTATGCCAGTATGAAGCCCATTCATCAAAGCACAATTTCAAGTGACTCCTGACCTTCAAAATGAAGGGTTTGCTTCTGCTTTCATTTCAGTTACTTTCACTACGGTGTCTCTGTGTTGCCAGAGTCTCACCTCGTTCATCATCTGCACAGGAGAACAAAGCTCACCAACTTCTTACACAATATTTAGAATTCAACATCTTTACAGCTGGACGCTTTACCAGAACACTTCTTGTCTTTCTCTACATACACTATTATTCAGCATCTAATAAAACCAAACCAAACAAACAAAAAAAAACAACAAAAACAACAACAACAAACCCAAACAAGACTACAACCCACAAAACCCCCATACCCTACACCTTTCAAAATCTCTAGATCAGCTAGAAGTGGAAAGGCAGAAATCAGACACATCAATTACTTTTAAACAGTCAGACATTCACTTTCATTCAGAAAACTTTGAGACAAGGACACGCTCCACCTTCAACTTCGATGTTTCATTTTCATGTCTTCCCCTAAGATGCTGTAAGTCATTGAAATCATGGTTGGAGTTTAAACAAGTATTGCTAGCAACTATGTGCTGTGATTTTTCTCTTTCGTATTGACTTTCAAGTGACAGATTTTCCTACAGCAAAACATTTCCTGCAAAGTCCTCAAGAGCTCCACTCAGTGCTCGTGAGTGGTGGGTCATGGCAGTGCGAGTCTGACAGTTCAACTCTTCTTCACAGGCAGGAGACTCCACGGCAGCTCTACATGAGGGCAGATTTTACAAGGACAGCCCAGCACACACCACAGGCTACTGCTACCCACGCTGCTTGTTGCTGATGCACAGAATCAAGCCCGCAGCAGCGTATTACATACACTTAAAACTTTCTTCTTCATGCCACTCCCAGCCAAAGTTCTTCTATTGAGGATTCACTTTGACAAACTATGTTGGAAAACAACTTTATATGCTGTACTCCAATGTAGGTCACAGCACCAGAATTTGGTGATCAGACAAGATGTCAGATGCAGCAGGATGATTACACGTACTATATAATTACACTGAACAATTCAGCATTGTAAAAGCATAGCAGACAACTGTAATCACATTATTACCAACTTCAACACATTTCACATGCAACAAAATACTGTAGAAAAACCTTGCCTTACAGCAAAAAAACTGACAGCTTTTTAAATCTGTAACTTCTACCTTCTCCATTCAAAAGTGAGTGCCAGTATAAATAATTTTTCAAAAGTTATCTAACAAGTCTGGCTTTGTAGCTCCATTCAACAGAGAGGTACCTTTGTATACATAGCCTTTCTAATTTAAACAGATTCTTCGACTCTTTGCATCGGTCCATACATACCACCTCTTCAGTTTATCAAGTTTCAACAGTCCTAGCTAGAAAGTAGCTTTTAAACAAATGACAAATGAAAACATATGACTACCGTTAAATCAAAACACATAAACCATACTGCGTATTGTTATTTTCCATCATATTATCAAGACATTGATGCAAAATCTTTTGAAAACACAATGTTTCTTCAGAAATAAGACTGTAATTAAAGTTCTTTGAAGTCTTTAAAACAGCCATCTGACAGACCACACTTTCATAACAGTAAAAAATTGCTTCCTTAACCAAGTCAGTATGGTGGAAAAAAAAAGAACAGAATAAAAAAAGAAAAAAAAAAAAAAAAAAAAGAAATCATTCTGAAACCTGTTACGTTGATTGCTTTAATTAAACTTCCAACATTGCACCGGCTTGCAAATGCATAGCTTTCACATTAACAAGAGCATA